AATGCCAGGTATTTAAAGTAACTGTATTTAAAGTAACTGTAAAGCTGCAATAAACAATTAAAACAGTGCAGTTCTTTGTATTACTGAACAAAAAAATATATATATGCTGTTATTCTCATATCTGTTCATAGATGCATGGAAGTGTTCCAAAATAATAATAATGCTATTTTAATGAGCATGATTAATGTGGTGTTGACCCAGCAGAGTAAGCCCAGAAACATACTGAAGTATTTGAAATATGACCAAGGCTGGCAGTTCTGATCACTGGGGAAAAGAGGAATGAGCCACTAAATGATTACTGGTTAACTATTTAGAAAAGAAACAATAAAGCAGACTTCTTGCTTCCTGTTGTTGTTAGGTGCCGTTGAGTTGATTTTTGACTCACGGTAACAGCATGGGACAGAGTAGAGCTGCCCCATAGGGTTTTCTAGACTGTAATCTTTAGGGAGCAGATTGCCAGGTCTTTCTACTTCAGAGCCGCTGAGTGTGTTCGAACCACCAACTTTTCAGTTAGCAGCCAAGCTCGTAATCATTGCGCCATTAGGGGTCCTTTCTTGCTTCCTACTTACTTTTAAAATTTAACCCTTTTGTTCATCTGTAACATCAAATAATTTTTTAGAAAAGCAAAACTTTAAAAGTTATAAGAAAAGATAGGCAAATATTTTAATAAGCTTCAAGAGAAGTAATTTCTAAGCAAAACACAAAAGACAGAAACCATAAAGAGAAAAAGACCAGACTTACTGGTTTGACAGAGACTGGAGAAACCCTGAGAGGAGGCCCTTGGACCCTTTTAACTCAGTACTGAAGTCTCTCCTGAGGCTCACCCTTCAGCCAAAGATTAGACAGGCCCATAAAATAAAATAAGACTAAATGGGCACACACACCAGCCCAGGGACAAGGACAAGGAGGCAGGAGGGGACAGGAAAGCTGGTAACAGGGAACCCAAGGTCGAGAAGGGGAGTGTTTACATGTTGTGGGGTTGAAAATCAATGTCACAAAATAATATGTATAATAATTATTTAATGAGAAACTAATTTGCTCTGTAAACCTTCATCTAAAGCACAACAAAAAAAAAAAAGAGTTGATGTAAAAACATAAAAACAAGAAAATCAACTTGCAGTATTGTTAGGGGGTTCTTTCCCCCCTTGACTGATTAGTTAAAATTAGTTTTTAAAAAAGTATGTGTGTATGTGTGTGTGTGCAGCATTACACAATGCACACACATAAATTCACTTATAGTGGAGGGTGGAGACCAGGATGGGAAGACCCATTTGAAGAGGAGTTATTTAATTCAGCACAACTGTACTGAGTTTCTGCTCTGGGCCAATGCCACAATGAGTGCCCAGTTTAGAGATGGGAAAGACCTACCTGAGGAACTCAGAATCCAGTGGGAGACCTACAGCATATTCATAAGGGCTCTCAATGTGCAACAGAAGGTGGGAGGTGCTATCAGAGAGGTATAGATGAAAAAAGAATGGAAACATGCAGGAAGGGTATTCACTACTGATTTTTTTTCTGTTTTGTAAGAAGTAGTATTTGAGCTGAGTCTTGGAATTTGGATAGAGTTCAATAGAGAGATATGGAAGGAAAGGTAATTTGAGGCAGAAGGCAGTACGGAAGTGGGAGAGCAGGATCCTTCAAGGAAAATACTAGAAGTTGTTTCCTATGAATGTCATAGAGCCATGGTTCTCAAAGTATGGTCACTGGATAAGTATGATCAGCATAACCAGGGAACTAGTTAGAATAGAATGCAAATTTTCAGCCCCTATCCAATGCCTGTCAAATCAGAAACTCTAGGGGTGGGCTCAGTAATCTATGTTTAGCCCTCCAGGTGACTCTGATGCATGCTAAAGTTTGAGGATCACTGCCCTGGTGGCGAACTGGTTAAGAGCTCGGCTGCTATCCAAAAGGTAGGCAGTCTGAATCCACCAGCCGCTTCTTGGAAACCCTATGGGCAGTTCTGCTCTGTTCTATCAGGTTGCTATGAGTCGGAATTGACTCGATGGCAACAGGTTTGGTTTTTGGTTATCATAGACTTGAGAAGCTCTGGTAATGCAGTGGTTAAGCACTCACCAAAAGGTCAGTGGTTTGAACCCACCAGCCACTCCATGGGAGAAAGATGTGGCCGTCTGCTTCCATAAAGATTTATAGGCTTGGAAATCCTATGGGGGCAGTTCCACTCTGTCCTATAGGTCGTTATGAGTTGGAATCAACTTGATAGGGATAAGAATCATAGATTTTAGAAAAGATGTGTATCAAAAACTTTTGTTCCCCACTAGGCACTAGAGGGAAGCAGTTTCTGGTCTATACAATTCCTGGGCAATACGCTCTTTTGCTTTCTCCCATGGAGCCTCACGGTATACAAATTATACTGCTTCCACAACTGTAATCTAGGTTTGGCTTTGGCTTTTTTTTTAGATTTCCCTGGTTCCTTTATGGGAGGCAAGAAAGATAGGGCAGGAAAAAAGGAGTTAAAGAGAAGTCTGGGGTTTTAGACCTGGATGAGGGACAGAATGCAGACACCAAGGAGTACTGGGAACCAGGAACAACAGTTCTAAAAGAGCTTGGTTTATTGTTGACATGTCGTGGGGTTGGCAACCAAAGTCACAAAACAGTAAGTGTATTAATTGTTTAATGAGAAACTAATTTGCTCTGTAAATCTTCATCTAAAGTACAATTTAGAGGGGAAAAAAAGTGTTTAAAAAACTAAATAAATAAAAGAGCTTGGATTGGGGACAGATTAAATGAAGGTGCTAAGAAAACACCAGGGTGGCCAAAAGGGAAAAGGAGATTTGAGTCCTGTTCTAGATTATGTGACAGTTGAAACAATGGGAGAAGATGGGAAAGAGTAGAAAATTGTAACAAGGATAGAATCAAGAGAAGCTGGTTAAAGAGAAAGATGGTGTTATAAATGAGACAAAGAAGAAATGGCCAGAGATCAAGAGAAAGATTCAAGCGTCTATCATCTTAAATTCTATAACATCTACTAACAGGTTATGGGGTCTTTTGGCTCACTAAGGTAGCCCATGATACTGTTATACTAAAGTCTGTCCGAAGGAAAAATTTAGCTATGTCTTTGGTCAAACTTCAGCAATTGGCTGGAAGCAATCCATATGCACTTAAGTGAGCCCAAAGTGAAATTGAGTGAACGTTAAAATACTTTGTGACCATCAAAAATTGTGGTGGAAAAATCACTAAATAGACAATAGGTAAGTGGTAACTTTGGTGAAAGGTAAGACATAATACTGTACATAATACTGGGGAAGCCAGCACAACTTCTTCAGGGTAAGGTCACGGAAGCTCCATGGACAAATCCAAACTCCCTGAAGGATTGAATTGCTGGGCTGAGGGCTGTGGGGACCATAGTCTCAGGGAACACCTAGTTCAATTGGCATAACATAGTTTATAAAGAAAATGTTCTACATTCTATTTTGGTGAGTAGTGTCTGCGGTCTTAAAAGCCAGTGAGTGGTGGTCTAAGATCCTCCGCTGGTCTCCCCGCTTCAGGAGCAAGGGAAAATGAAGAAAACTAAAGACGCAAGGGAAAGATTAGTCCGAAGGACTAATAGACCACAACTACTACGGTGTCCACTAGACTGAGTCCAGCACAACTAGATGATGCCTGGCTACCACCACTGACTACTTTGACAGGGATCACAACAGAGGGTCCCGGACAGAGCTGGAGAAAAATGTAGAACAAAATTCTAACTCAAAAAAAGACCAGACTTACTGGCCTGACAGAGACTGGAGAAACCCTGAGAGTATGGCCCCTGGAAACCCTTTTAGCTCAGTAATGAGCTTACTCTTGAGATTCACCTTTTAGCCAAAGATCAGACAGGCCCATAGGACAAAAAGAGACTAAAGGGGTGCACCAGCTCAGGGGCAAGGACTAGAAGGCAGGAGGGGACAGGAAAGCTGGTAATAGGGAACCCATGGTTGAGGAGGGAGAATATTGACATGTCATGGGGTTGTTAACTAATGTTATACAACAATATGTGTACTAACTGTTTAATGAGAAGCTAGTTTGTTCTGTAAACCTTCATCTAAAGAACAATGAAAAAAGTACTTCGTTTAATTGGCACAGAAGCTTGGATATGCTATTAATGCAGTTGGCTCAGTGAATTAAACAGTTGTTGCAGATGGGATTATATCTCCATGAAAAGTATAAATACTCAGCTGGGATGGTAGGCAGTGAGCAGACCACAGAATTTAAAAACGATAAAACAAAATCATACATTTGCCAGGGACGGATAAGCCTGTACAAGCCTAATATTGTTGCATTGGACTGGTATCATTTTGACTCAGAGATACCAACTCTTGGGGAAATGAGTTCGTCATTACCTAATAAATTCAGTTTATTTGTTAGACAAGACAAAGACTTTAAAAACATAGCTAAAAACAACAAAGGCAACAA